CCTACCTCCTCCTCCTCCTCCCCCCCCCCGCCTCCGTCACTCTTGCATTTTTCCACCACGCATTCTTTCTTCCTCCTCTTCTTAGCTTTCTCCCCCCCCTCCTCCCTCTATTTTCGCCTTGGTTATTTACCACCAATGCAAAGGATAGGAGGAAGCCAGCCTACCTGTGCACCTGAAATTCTTCGATATTTTCTTCCTTGCCGAAAATATCACGAAAATAAATATATTCGTTGTATCAGCGAAGCGGCAAAGGTGGAGAGACAGAGATAGGTTAGGTTCGTTCGATTGGTTCCACGAAAGGTCGGTTTAAACGGCGAAGGAGGAAAAGAAAAATCGATAGATAACGGTTGGCCACGCGAGCCAACGTCGTTGCGGTGGACACTTAAAGGGAAATAACATTGCTGCCGTTTCCAAAGGAATGGCCGTTGCTCGAGTAAAGGTTTCCCTCGTTTTGCGTGCCGCAGGTTGCGGTTTCCTTCCGATCAGCTGTGGGTCGAACGTTGTGTCCATTGTCAACGTCCGTTGACAATATGTGTTACGTGGATCTGGGGCATTTAAGTTTGTTGGTTCTTGAAGCTTCTTCCCGTATATCGTCGTTTCAACATTTAGAAAATCGCGAGCGTAAATGTGAATATGAGATGTATGAAATATTTATTCCAAAAGAGAGTTGCGATTTGGTTTCGATCAGCTGATCGGATGTACTTCCCTCCCAGGGATTACCACATAGCAACGCCACTCAACACCGTCCAATCGCCAAGTATAAACTACTCGGCGTCAGACGTTGCCGTAATCCCGCAGTTTAATTCAGGAACGTTCGGTTTCCATCGAAACCGATCCTTCCCCCTCCCTCGATTCTTCTTTTTCCTAAGCCCGTGGAATCCGCGCGATTCGCCCCGCTCCTTTCGGCGCGCGGTCCCGCGGGATCGACCGGCCAAACCCGAGACTCGTTCCTCACTCGGTTCTCCACTCTATAAATACCATACGCTCCTTAGCGCGTCGAGACTGGTGGCGAGAGAGCACCGTGGGGAGAGAGGGGGGGAGGAGAGCCGGCTTCGTGGGCCGTTGCGCTCGGTGCCAAGGTCACGCGGCCCCCATCGGCCCTCTCCCGTCCTCTCCGTAGCCCCCGCCACGCTATGGACAAAGTTCATCTTTTCTATCATACCAACCCCTTCGTTCGATGAAACGTCGATCGACCGAGTTTCCTTCACCGTCTTCTTCTTCTGTCTTTCGTCTGTGATTTCAGGTTTTTGTTCGTCCTCTTAGTGAGATGGAGAAGAAAAGTTTTTAGAATGTTTCAATGTAGATTCGTAAGTCGTAACATATCTCTGTCGCAAATACGCTTGCTCCAAGGAATACGCTTTGAAAGGGAAACAGTGTTTCGTTTTAGAGGCGCGAGATGGGAGTGCGGTAGTAGGAGAGATACGGCAACAATGAAAAGCAAAAGCACACGGATCAAGGTGAATATCTTTTGGGTAGAGGAGATCCTCGGTGTCTTGACATGGTAACGTGGACATTCGCGGTCTATATACTCGTGGAACGTGTATACGTAACCGAACCGGTGGCTGGCAGCCAACTGAAAGACTTTGGATATATTTGCGGACTGGACAAGCTGCTCGACACGTGACACAATTTCATTACCCTTGCTGGCGTGTGCTGCTATGCCGACGATCTTTCTCTCCCTTTCCTCTTCTAATTTACCATCCGAATTTCGTCACGGGTACGCGTGGTGGAATTGTTTCGCGTCGCACGACGATTGAGTTGTTAGAACTGTGTATACACGTTTCCTTTCAAAAATAAGGAATTACATTTATTTGCATTATTACATTCCTATCGATTTTATTTACATTTTTTTTTTTCTTATTATCGATACGACGAAAGTGGAAATATTCTCGAGAGAGATTTTATAAAAAAGAGGCGAAATTGATCAATTAGCAAGCTGTTAGTGGCTCGTTCACGACCGTAAGATAAGAATCTTCACACGTGACACAATTTTATCATCCTTGTGGGACGCGACCGCGAGAGCGCGCGAGCACGCGCTCGAGCGACCGAGCGCTCGGCGACGTATCGTTCACAACTACGTGCAGCTATGCAAGGAATCGTGCGGTCAGACTCCTTTCCCATCCAGGATTCCCGGAAAACGGGAACGATTCGTGGTATATATGACATAAATTTTAATTAGACGATTCCGTCCATCGGGTATTCGAGGTGTGAACAATACTTTCGTGCCCATAAATTGGACTTCTTTTTCGGGCTTCGCCAGATGAACACATCGTGGCGCTAGTGTTGTTGTTTGAGCTCAGGGATGCGCGCACTCTGTTTTCGAATACTTGTTGATCGCCCGGCTAAATCCTAATCGTCTCGTGGCTATTATTTCATCATCAAGCCCAATTTTCCAAAGAAAGGAAGATTTCATGCATAATAATTTGTTTTCGCGCTAAACCAATCCCATCTACCCTCGAAACAATCTCTCCGTTATTGCGTATGCCCGAAAAGCGTCAGATCGATTTTCCGGCCGAGCCAATTTAACGATTCGATTAACGACGACACACAGAGATGGAGAAAGAGAGAGAGAGAAAGACAGGCCTAGTGTACGAGAGCAAAGCTCGTTGAATTATCGAGTTCTCTCGACTACCTATACCAGTGGAATGCATCGTATGGTACCGCTCGTGCAGTCGTGAGGGACGCGATCGACCTCTTGCGGAGAGTTGCCTTAACCTTTTAGATTTTTTCTTACTCGTTTCAGCCCGCTGCCTGCCCGGATGCGACGAGCAGCACGGACACTGCAATCGACCCGACGAATGCTTGTGAGTATACGCATATATATATATATATATACACAATTCACCATTTTTCTTTCTCTCGCTCTTTCTTTCTCTTCTTCCCTCCTTCATGATAATGTAAGTGTAAGTAACTATATAGCAACTAACTACTTCTTCTTCTTCTTCTTCTCCTTCTTCTCCTTCTTCTTCCACGTCTGCTCGCTCTTTTTCTTCCTCTTTTCCTCTAATATACATTCCTGATTCGCGATACCAGTACGCGTTGTATCATACTCGTGCCGCATTAATAAACGACGCCTCGATAAACGAGCTTCCCGCGAAAGTCGATCGTTAATGAGTGTAACGCGATCGATGATCCGGCCCCTAATTGCTCCACCGTGAGAATCTCTCGGTTTCGTTCTTCCTTTTTTTTTTTTTTCGAGGAAAATTAAATTACGATTCTCTTAATCATCGATTATCCAAACTTTTCTCCTCGTCGATGCTACGAGTCGATCATCGATCGATCGATCGATTTGCTACACATTTTTTTTTTTATCAGAAAAGCAAGAAAGTTTGAAACGACTCGAGACATTTATACACGCCCAAATTGGAAATTAATATTCCTCCTCGATTAATCGGGTATTTCCATTAGCATAACACAGCCAACTCGATTTTCCTTTACACCCGGATCGGATCGAGCGCTCGATTAGAATATCATCGGGTGGAACTCGTTTCCGGGTGTTGCGATTCCCCTCGGTTCGGTTCCTGTTTCACCGGTGATTTCACAGTGGGGAGGAGAAGGGGAAGGCGGGCGTCGTGCGCGATGATCGTCAGGGGTCGAAGAGGACGAACAGGAATTCTCGACTGGTTTCCCTCCTTAACGAGAGAATCGGCTACCGGATCGTGCATTTCCAATCGACTCGATTTTCCCCCCCTCTCTTCCAATTTTTCTTCTCCCCTTTTTTTTTTCTTCTCTCTTCCTCTACGTTCCCGCGAAGTCGTCGAACCTATTCTAATTCGATTGCGAGCAGTCGAAAAACGAGCACCGGGACCAAAAGTCAGAGATCGAAGTAGAGAATTTCTGTATTTAACGGGAATCCTGATCTATAAATACGCTCCTGCCTTCGAGGAACCCTCTTCTTCTCCTCCTCGTTCAGAATTTTTTTCTGAAGTCGAGAAGAGAACTCTGCACCCTGCTTTTTTAACCCGAAAAGAACTCGAACGAGGGATCGATTTCTTGAAATTTGCCCCGATCGAGGCTAGGTTAATTTAAAAATGGGAACGCGAAAATTTCGAGGTCAAAAACGCGCAACAGTTGCGTCAGCAATATTCTTAAAACCGAACAAGTGGGAGTGGGGGCGCATGCGTCGATGACGGCCAAACTGTTGATCGAAAATCAACCGTCTCTCGGCGGCAATCGAATTTAGAACGGGTCTATATATGCAGAGATGTTCCGCGATAATTCCTATCCGTTTCTCCGCACATGGGACACGAATCTCGGTCCGACGTTAACCCGAGGTTTAGAGTTAACTCGATCATCTAATTACTGCACGAGACCGGGGTTAATTGTCCCGTTAGCCGCAGCCGTCCAGCCGAGTTCCCTCCGAGTGGATCCGTGTTTTCTCCTCGCCGACATCATCGTCATCATCATCATCATCATCATCGAACTCTCTTTCCTTTTTCTCGCGGAAAAATAATATTTTCGAAAATAGACGAGGCATCCGTCCAAACCGCTCTCTCGCCGCGTCTTTTAAATGTCCCAGACGTTCAGGAATTTATGGGCATACCGTAGACGCGTAAATAAACAACGGCGGAGCGTCGTAATAAATTGTTCGTCGAATATCTGCAAACGTTTCTGCGACAACTTTTGTTGCAACTTGGAAAAACCTGTTGCGAAACGAGTAGCGTCGGTTCTGCTCGAGGAAGGAGGAATTTTTAATTTCCATTTGTCGGTGAAAATAACGCGATCGAACGGTTGGTGGAAGGATGCGGTCGAATAAATATAGGAGCGATGGTATTACGTGGACAAAGGGTAATCTGTTTTCTGGTTGCGTAACCGTATGCGTGGAAATGGCCGATACGATCGCTGAAAGCGATCGCCATCTCTCGTGGGATGTTGGCCCCATTCGTGGTACGTGAAAGAATCGCGGCTCTCTCTATCCCCATTGAAATTTCGGAGTCCATGGTCGCGGTGTCGCGTGCGTATCCTATCTGAATATTGATGAAGATGCACACAACACCGCGCGCATCGTGTTCCCCTACCTTCCTTTTCCTTCTCCTCCCCCTCTTTTCCACCTCTTAATTTATACTTCCGCGATATTTGCAATTTCTTCGATCGTCCTTTCTTCCCTTCCTCCCCCCCCCCTCCGATATAACGATATCTCTCCAAGCACCGGTACCCAAGTGGAATATTACCACTATACTTGTCGATATCCCCGAACGCGTGTACCGGTATTCACGCTTAATATATATATATATATAACTCGCGAGCAGTACCGGTGCTGCCTCGAGTGATACCGAGGCCAACTACTGCAAATCCCCCCTCCCCAGTAATTATCCAATTGCCCAAACACGATTGTTCCATCTTGACTTTCTTCACTTTCTTATTTCGCGTCGCTTCGATTTCGAATACGAACGACGAGAGACGTGTCGTCGTTCCAGAGAGAGAAAGAGAGAGAAGCCGTGGTCTTTCGATCATCTGAAATCCTTTTTTTTCGCGTTCTTAAGGAAATTTGAGAGAAAAGGCAGCTCGAGGATATCGCTATCGAGTTTGTAACGCGTATAAATACGTATATATATATATATATATATATATATATTATATACACGTGTGTGTGTGTGTGTATATACACGTGCATATATACGTCGCGTGTGCAATCGACACAGTTTCGTTCCATCTCGTACACTCTCGTCATCTCGCTGCTGCTCGTCTCTCTATCCCTCTTTCTCTTACACCTCTCTCGATTACGTTCTTGGTGTGTACACGGGATTTAATGGTATAGTCATGCGACGTCGACGGCTAAGGGGCTCTCTCTAAGCTTCTCTTCTCTCTACATCTCGATATATATATATATATATATATATATAGTATAATATATACTTTTATATATATTATATATTTTGTATATATATACGTATAGAAAGAGAGAGAAAGAGGCGGATGGGTATTAGTAGGCAGAGTAAGGCGCGCGCACACACAGAGGAGCGTAACCTTTCCTTGACCCGCATACTGAACGGCTGTGCCGAGGCTCGAACCGTGGGAACACAACTCGACGACTCGTCTCCCCACTCTCCTTCGAATTCTACCTCCTCTCCTGTCTCTCTTGGCTAAGGTTCTTCCTCCCTTCTCTGTCGCCGGTTCTCTCCTTTTCCTTCTCTTTCTTCGAGACCTTTCTCTCTCTCTCTCTCTCCTCCTTTTCGACTGGTTTCTCTCTGTCTCTCGCTTATTCTATTTCTTCCTTCTCTCTTCCTTTTCCTCTTCTTCTTCTTTCTTTGTATATGCGTGTACTATTCTATATATATATATAAATATATATAAATATATATAAATGTGTGAGAAATGTACACGTATATGCGCATAGTATATCTCTGTCTCGCTTCGATATTCGCTCCTGTTCTATCTTTTCACGGACCTCTTTCTTCCGTACATCGGTGTAAAACCCCCTTGGACGTAATGGCCGACCACCATATCCTTCTCTCTCCCCCTCCCCCCTGTGTCGCGAATCCAGCTCCTTTCTGCAGTACCTTCCTCCTCGTCGTCCTCTTCTTCATCTCTCCATCGGCCTTTACCCACCTTCGCGTATCCCTCTTGTCACGGCGAGCTTAGCCGCCTTTCTTTTTCTCGATCGTTCTGTTCCGCTCGCCATTTCTTTCCTCTCCCTTCGCCCCTTTTTTCGTCTTCGTCCTCCTTCTCGGAACCTCTTATTTACCTAAAAAACCATCGACCGATGCGCACGATCATTTTTTCGCCACACGAAACTCTCAGTGGGAAGAATTATTATTTTCCTCCTTTCCTTCATTTCAAAGAACGAGGGAACTTGTGATAACGATATATATATATATATACATACACACCGTGGGAAGTTCGATTAATTTTATCGGGAACGAGAGATAGACGATGACCCCGTAACCATCCTATTTTTATCGCATTCTCTGAAATTACTTGGTCGAGGATCGATTAGTATTTAACGATCGAAGTAATTAGAATCTACCATACGCCTTCTCGCCTCGTGTATATAGGAGGGCCGTGTGTTCTCCAACGGAGTCACCCGGTATAAAGCTCGGTTACCTGGAAACGGGGATTCCTCCTCGTCCCATCTCCTTGCCTCTTTATTGCGCCGTCCTCTATCACGTTCCATCATTTTTCATACGAGTTTAACGAGGTCTTTGACATTCGTCTTCGGTTGAGAATATCTTCGAATATTCTTCGATCATAGATTTTTGCTCTCGGAGGAAAGTTATCCCTCCTAACTTTCCTCTCCGATTTTGCTTCGTTAAAAAAAAAAAAAAAAAAAAAAAAGAAAAAGAAAAAGAATTTTGGATTTTTTTCATATTAAATCTATCCGACTCTGATCATTTTAAAAAAGGCCCACCCTATATAACGATCGATCGGTAAAACGAAAGCCTTCCCCGGTTGTCGGCATGGCACGGTCACTTTCTCCCCGTGTTCGTCGGTAGCCGAAGAAAAGCGATGAGCACAGCTAACGAGCAACATCCTCTCTTGTCTCGGTTCCAGATGCCACAACGGTTGGAAGGGAGCGTACTGCGACCAGTGCGTGAGATATCCAGGCTGCCTTCACGGTAGCTGCCAGAAACCCTGGGAGTGCCTCTGCGACGAAGGCTGGGGCGGTCTGTTCTGTAACCAGGACCTCAACTACTGCACGAATCACAAGCCTTGCTTGAACGGCGGCACCTGCTTTAACACCTTTAACGGCCAGGGTTTGTACACCTGCTCGTGCGCGCCAGGTTTCAACGGCACTAACTGCGAGAAGCCGCTTTTGGATTGCGACTCGAACCCCTGCCTGAACGGTGGATCGTGCACCATGGACCCGCCCTATGGGAATTCTAGCCTCGTCAAAACATCGGAATCGTCCTCCTCCTCCTCTTCATCATCATCATCATCATCGTCATCGTCATCCGCTTCGTCGTCGTCGTCGTCGTCATCGTCCACCAGGCAACATTATCGCTGCACCTGTCCACCAGGTTGGCGAGGCAGGCACTGCGAGATCAGCTCGAGATCCTGTCGAGATTCTCCCTGCCATCACGGAGCCAGCTGCGAGGACGATTCCCTTCACGGCTACGTGTGCCGTTGTCCTCCCGGTTACACGGGGAACGACTGCGAATCCCAGCTCGACCAGTGCTCCCCGAATCCGTGCTCGAACGGCGCCACCTGTACCGATCTGGGGAACAGCTTTCGGTGCTCTTGCCCACCGGGTTTCACCGGTGAACGCTGCGAGACCAACATCGACGATTGCCAAGGCGACCCGTGCCTGAACGGCGGAACCTGCGTCGATCTAGTCAATCAGTTCCGTTGCCAGTGCGTGCCCGGATACGTGGGCCGGTTATGCCAGGACAAGGTGGATTACTGCCTCACGAAACCGTGCGCGAACGGTGGCCGATGCATATCGGGGACGAACGATTATAGGTGCGCGTGCAAGCCTGGATTCACCGGCAAGGATTGTAGCGTGGACGTGGACGAGTGTCGAAGCGCGCCCTGCAGGAATGGCGGCACGTGCCTGAACCGTGTGAACGGGTTCCTCTGCCAGTGCCCCGAGGATTGGCACGGGGACACTTGCGCGGAGGAAGTAGGAAGCGGAACGATTGTGCTGCCACCTCCGTCGAACACAGCGACAGCCGCCGTACCGGCCGTTCCGCCGTCCGGTGCTAGCTACTGGTCGGGAAATCTTTCGAGGCACGTGGCTTCCGCGTCCGCGGAGCCTAGGGACGCCGGCCTCACCACCGAGCACGTGGTGGTCATAGCCACGTTGTCCACGGCCGTGCCTGCGTTCGTCCTGGTCGCGGCCGTCGCCGTGATGTGCATGAAGAGACGGCAGAAGAGGGAACAGGCGAAAGCGGACGAGGAGGCGAGGCTGCAGAACGAGCGGAACGCTGTGCACAGCAGTATGAGCAAACGAGGCGGTGGCTTGGGCGGTGGTGCGGGAGTCGGGACGGGCGGAAGTCAAGGGGTTGGTATCGGCAACGTTGGACTTCTGGGCGGCGGCGGGAGTGGAATGATCAGCGCCGGAGGCGGGGGCAGCGTGTGCACCCTCGGCACCGGGGATGCCCACATGATCAAGAACACATGGACGGCGAACAAGAGCGTGAACAACGTCGCGTCCGCCAGACAGGACGACCTCGACTCGTCGTTTCAAACGGACGTCACGCTGGATAGCTCTTGCTCGGGTTACAAGCCAGAACCGGTGCTGCAGGACGGGCGAACGCGGACAACGAAGCAACTGAACACGGAGGCAGCCGCTCACAGGGCGTCCCACCTCTTCCAGAAGGAGAAGGATTGTCTGGGCCTTGGTCTCGGCATAGGCGTCGGTGTCGGCGTGATCGAGAGTGCCAAGAGGTCGTCGGTGTTCGCCGGTAACGCGACGACGGACAGTTGTTGCGCGGCGGAAGCGGCGTTGCTCAAGAGGCCGACCAACATCACCGAAGGGGGCAGTGGTCCACCGGGTAGCGGTGGCGGTGGCGGTGCCGAGACCGGGTGCGGGGTATACGTTATAGACGATCATTATAGGCACGACACATCGCTCGCGGCGACGCTCGCGACGGAAGTGTAGTTTTTCTTCCTCTTTACTCCCCCGTGTCCAACTGTTGTTCTACGATATAATAGTATAGAGATGAGAGCCAGTCGATCGATTAACGTGGACTCTATGTATATATATATGTATATGTATATACATATATGCATATACATGTATATATATATACATATATCCGTAAAATGAACATTTATCTTCCTCGTAAATGACCGAAAATGCTGTGCGTGCCCCCGCGTGCGACTCACACGCGACCAAGAAGAAGAAGAACTCTTGTTTTTCTCTCAGCGCGTTACAATACGTTTGTTTCGTCGTCGCAGCGCACCGTCCTCGACGCAGCGTAACTACCAACCGGCGCGACAGAGAAACACACGCGTTACGAATCCCTTTGTGCATATACGCGCACGTACGTACACGAATACTACAATAGTCATCAACGTGTGGTGCGCGCCGCGCTCGGCTCTCCGTTATGGGCCAGCGGGTGAACGGGCGTGCGTTTCTTTGCGATTCCTTTGTTTCTCTCCCTCCCGTTGCGCAGGACGTCGCGCGTGAGAACGTTCCACCGGACTTTGCCACTACGGTGACGACACACAACACGGTGGTAGCGGGATGCGTTGCTTGCTGCCGTTGTCGCTGTTGTTGCTGTTCCTTGGTGTTCGTATTGCTGAAGCAGAAGAAGTCGGCTCGCGCGTGCACGTTCTATTGGACGATCGCGCGGGACGATCCTCCGTTGAGGTTGATGTTGACGAGAAGACAACGGGGAGTGGAGAGGTCCCGAGACTCCTTCCTTGAAAAAAAACAAAAAAAAGAAAGAAAAGAAACGGAAGATGATGAAGATGACGATGAAGACGAAGAGGAAGAGACTTCAGCGAGGAGTTCGACAGCAGGGGAGCAAAATGAAATATACATATATATATGCACACACGTAAAAAAAAAAAAAATATATATATATATGTATATAATACGAAATGCTGTGGAGGCGGACGATCGCGAATATCATCGTCCGACCCGTTCTTAGGTATTATAATATTATATATCATGTTCGAAGCGAAACTTTGTACAGAACTAATTTATTATTATTGTTATTTACTATTATTACTATTTGCTATTATTATTATTATTATTATTATTATTATTATTATTATTATTAATATTATTATTATTATTCTAATTATTATTATTATTAATATTATTCTATCGTATCCCATTATCATCATTGTTCCGATAATTCTCCATTGTATACTCTATTTCTCTCTCTCTCTCTCTCTCTCTCTTCTCTTCTCTTTGTTCTTTTTTTTGAATCGCGTGACTGAAGATTTTTTTTTTTCTTTTCTTTCCCCTACTCTCTTTTCTTCATGGCTAACGAGAGACGCGTTCACGAGGATACTTACTTTTGCGTGTACACAACTACGTGTGTATGTATGCGATTCTGTATGCGTGGGTGTGTGTATTCGCGGCCGATAGCGATACAGCGTGCATGCATCGAGAGTATGTCTCTCTGTTTTCGGTACATGTGTGTGTGTGTGTGTGTGCGCGCGCACGCGCGCGCGCGCGTGTGTATTCCCCTTCCCCCTTCGTATATGTAATATGTATATAATATGTAAATGTACATGTATATGTATGTGCGTCCATCTGTTCGCTTGCGAGCAAGTCCTCAGTGAGAGAGTACGAAGCAGAGTAACGACCAGAGAGAGGAGAGCGTTTGTATGTACCGTGCGTATATATAGTTACGAGCGAGAAAGTTTACGACGAATTAGGATTCAAACGATGTCGCCCCTTCGTGAGATTTTTTTATTTTTTTTTCCCTCGGATTTTTTTTTTTTTTCTTCCTTTTTTAACCTTTCGGATAGCGCTATTTTTTTCGACGATCAATCGGATATTAATACCTCCTATTTTCTCTCTCTCTCTCTCTCTCTCTCTCTCTTCTCTCTTC